AAGTTCTATTACATTACAGATACAAGCGATACAAGATTACAGATCTTACAAGACCCAATGAACTCAGTACTACGACGAACAAGGTAGCAACAAATAACCCAGTGAAGCATGGCTCTGGAAACGACTACGCACTCCTAGTTGCTACTTAGCAGAACACACACTACTCGGATACACTGTTTTCTTCAAAGGAACGGCGCAGTGCATCCAAGATTGGTGTCAGCGGCACAGCTAGACAACATGGACCAGGTGAGGCTCATAGGCATTAGTCTACCCAAGTCTGATGTGATGCTGGATCAGGTACTGATTTGCACCGAACAATCGCGAAGCAGAGTGGAAGGATCAACCCGGCGCTGCTGGATGAGGGAACGAGTCCCACATCACAAGGCTTCTCCCATCTACCAGAACGGACTACCCAGCGCAATAGCGCTGAGAGATTAGTCTACCTCTAATCTCCTTCACAAGACTTCTTCCATCTACTACAAGCTTTACAAAATTTACAACTCATGCCCGGGGGACTGCTCTACTTCACAAACCACCATATTCTCGGCTACAAGACTTCAAGTACCACACCAAGACTCCACTGATTTACAACAAGCTCACCAGGGGGTATTTATAGGCCAAGGAGCGGTATATATAGACCAAGTCCACCAACAGATCCAAAGCTACCATATGTGAAGATACAGTACTCAAGGACAGTACATCCAAAGGAATATGCCAACACTGTACAAACCGTGACTACGCAGCATTTAACCAACTCAACCGCCAACTACCACTTACCACTGACAGAAGAAAGAAAATTACTTGAGAATATGATAAAAGACCCTCTACCGAGTTCTTCTTGAGTAAAAAAGAACCCGGATATATGCTCGGGGGCTGCAGGGTACATATCCTCAGAGAAGATTTTCAGTTTTTCCAACAATAAAAAATTCAAGACCCTTCAACTTTTTGTTCTAAATAGCCAGAGGCTCGGGGGCTACACTCAGTGAGTGCCTTTTTCTCCAAAAAAAAGCGCACATCACCCAAGAAGACTTTTTCAAGAATAGATCACTTCAAGGTTTCCCTTCGAAAGAACCCGGATCAAGCTTGTTCCACCCGGTAAGACCAGATAGAACAAGGAGGCTTCCGAGTTCAACCATGAAACGCTCGGGGGCTTGTCGATGCGGAACCCACAAGGTTCCCCAGCAATGTGACTACGAGCCGTGGGCCCTGGCCTGGCCCACGGACAGAAGCAAGAAGATTGGATTAATTAAAGAATAGGTAATCATGCACGCAATCTGATGTGAAAACAACTCTGACACACAGAGACGATGCCAACACCAGGGCACGCACAGACTCGTTAGTAGTTGACGTACCTGTAGCCGAAGTAGCTACCCCCGAAGAGCACGTACATGGGAGCGTTGTTGCTGATCCTAGCGCCGGCGATGATGTGGATGCTGTGGAACTCGTTGATGTGGATGCAGTGGAGGCTACGGATATCCGGGCCGCAGATGAGGGGACGGTGGTGCTTGCTTCTAGAGCGCCACGCATGCGATCGCGGTGCAGGCCGCACGAAGTCCCTGGTCAAGGGGGCAGAAGCTGCTCCAGGTCGGGCCGACGTCGACCGGAGATGGGAACTCGAGACGGTCATCGCGCGCATGGATGAGATCCGGGAGCTCGAGCCTGCCGCCGCCGTCGCCACCGACTCATCATCGTCCTAGGCCATCGAGCGAACCTTGGAGACGAAGATTTACATACGTGGCCCATGGGTACGTGTGGACGCGGGTAGATTTTGTTTTGTGCGTGAGGGAAGACGGAGAACAGGGTGTGGGTACGAGCGGGTGGGTATGTTTGACGTGGGTGAAAAAAAATCAAGCGCGGGAGATGTCCTCGAGAGAGAAACCCGGTAAACGTTTATAAGTTTTCCGGCGGGGTCTATTGGTCAGATCACGGTGAAAATTTTAGATACGTCGGATCTAATTTTAATATAGATCCAAGGAACAAGAATTAAGGTGGGTAAGAATATCAGGGTGAGCGGCTATTTTCAATTCCTTCGCTCTTTTATAGTATAGTATAGATAGATAGATATATGAGTATATTACGAGTACAATAACACGGCCAATCCAATCCAATAGGTACAATATTTCATTTGGAGCTATAACTTTGGTACGACTACATCAACATCTAAGGTTATTTGAACAATTTAAAAACAATTTTAAATTCGAGAACAATTCAAAAAATCAACAAAGAACAAAAATTAAATTTAATAATCTATTCTATCAGGTGTTGGGCGTAAATTTGACGGCCCAAATAAAGGTCCACACCTATACTTATAATATTATTGTTACTACTAGCCGGATGTGTTATCTATATCTATATCTATCTATACCCCTAATAATAAAGAGGCAAAATTTCAGGTTTTTTTTTCGTCCATCCATTTTCTTGGTCCGTCTCCCTCTAACTACACGACAATGACGAGTTACTTCCATCCGGACTTATATATATAACCCGTGCTCATACAAATTAGAATAGCTCTTGTCTAGTGCGATGCAGAGTCCGATTCCAAAACATATTGGGTCCGTGCTCATATATGTTAAAACAATAGAAATCCTGATCCAAATAGACCTCTTCGGTCCTAAATATAAATAGGAATTCTAATCAAATAGAAAAGAAATATAATCTATACCTATCTATCCCTAATACTAAAAAGCCAAAATTTCTAGCACCCAAAAAATTTTCGTCCACCCAATCACCACTGTTCTGTTCGAATCCAGCATGATTAACGGTGTTCAGTTTGGATCTTGTTTTCGTTTCCGTCTCTATTTCCTTTTCTTCTCCCGCTCGTAGGTGTTGCGTACGTCAGGGTATCACAAAAGTGTCGCCCCACGCCCCCCACTCATTGATGTTCGTGACTTTTTTTTTATCTTTTTTGTGTTTTATTTTTTTTTTATTTTTCTTTGAAGTAACTATACTTTTTCTTATAAAAGAAAGATAAATTATAAATACAGTATTGTAGTTCTTTAAAACTTTAATTCTTACTTAATAAACAAATATTTCTACTACTAAGTTGTTAGTTTAAATTAGGATTAAATTATTATTATTATTATTATTATTATTATTATTATTATTATTATTATTATTATTATTATTGTTGTTGTTGTTGTTGTTGTTGTTGTTGTTGTTGTTGTTGTTGTTGTTGTTGTTGTTGTTGTTGTTGTTGTTGTTGTTGTTGTTGTTGTTGTTGTTGTTGTTGTTGTTGTTGTTGTTGTTGTTGTTGTTGTTGTTGTTGTTACAACTACTACAACTACTACTACTAGCCTAACTAATAAAACAGTAAGCTAAAATCTTGAGCATTTTGTCATCCAATTTAATCAAAATAAATGTTTCTCCAAGCTATTCATACAGTGCAAATCTCTAAGCTGTCCGCACATACTAGAATTCTTTAAAGGCTGGCCATGTGGAAATTGACACATGACGCTGATTAATCCCCTGCCAACTTTAATAAGATATTAAAATTACATTAAAAAATTTATGATTCTCAAAAGAAGCCACGAAACTTGACCAACACATAGATAGTATGAAAAGTAAAGTTATGATCATTTGCAAATAAATATTCTTGTGTCTTACAACAAAAGAAAAAATTTATCAAAGTTGTATTTTAATTCAATACAGAATTACGTGACTTTTCTATCCCTTTTTGTGTTTTTGTTTTTTATTTTTTCTTTCCTGATGAAGTGACCATGCTTTTTCTTATAGAGATTAAGATAAATAATAAATAGTGCATTATAGTTCTTTAAAACTTTGACTCTTACTTAATAAATAAATATTTCTATTAATCAGATGTTAGTTTTAATTAGGAATATATTAATGTTATTATATTATTATTATAACATAAATGTCCTAACTAATCAAACCATAAACTAAAATCTTCAACATTTTGTCATCCAACCTAATAAAAAATGTTTCTCCAAACTATCCGCACAATGCAAATATCTAAATTGTCCGTGCATACCAGTGCAACTCTCTACAAGGCTGACACGTGGAAATTGAGACACGATGACAACTAACCTTGCCGATTTTAATAAGATATATATTAAAATATAAAAAAAATTATGGATTCTCAAAAGAAACCGCGGAACTTGACCAACACATGGATAGTATGAAAAGTGACCAACACATGGATAGTATGAAAAGTAAAGTTGTGGTCATTTGAAAGTAAATATTCTTGTGCCTTACAACAAAAGAAAAATTTTATACGGGTTGATTCAATATAGAATTAATAGGACAGTGTCATATTATTGCCAATATTAACATATATTATGGATACCATGATTATCATAAAGTAAAGTATAGCTTTGAAATTTTATAGAAAGGGTAAAAAATGAATATATATCTAACATTGTCATCCTTGTTTCCATTAACGAGTCCGTTCATTTAAACAAATTAAGTTGTTGCGACCGTTGCAGATGTGTGTTTGATAATATTTTTCTCCTGTTGCAACGCACGGGCATATTTGCTAGTTCTTTTAAAGAAAAAAAAACTGGATTTGTGTGCCAAGAAGTTTGGATGACTTTGGACTTACAGCTGCTTCCTTGGAGTGCTCCGAACTATAGTAATTCTAACTGGATATTGATGTCGTAGGCGCATAATATACTTGGAACACGGGAAGCTTAATCCAACACGGTGTCCTCCTCCTCCTATATATATAGCTGACCGAGCTAGGGTACCAGGCAACATATCCTCCAATCCAATCAGCCATAGATAGAGGTGGATCCCTCCTTGTCCTGCCATCTTCGTATCGTCGTCCAGCGAGAGAAGAACCATGGAGGAACGACACGCAGACGCCGCTAGTAAATTGGGATCATCCATGTCGTCCTGCTTGCCCTTGCTCGTCTTCCAATACTGTCATCACGGCCAGGAGGACGAGGACGTTAACAACGAGATGCTAATGTTCAGCATCTCCAAGCAAAGCCGGCCTGCACAAGAACATGGTGCATGACCTTCTAGCCGTAGGCAACAGCAGCATGTGCTGGACCACTCCACAAGGCTGGATACTCCTGGCCCGCGCCCGGGACCAAGACGCGGCGGTCTCTTCAGCTTGCCTATGGAACCCTAGCACCGGCGACAAGCTTCCGTTACCAGATATCATCACACATGAAATCCCGTACCACAACAGGTGCATGCTCTCCACAAGGACCCAACTCATCCAGGATGTGTCGCCGTGCTCTTCAGTTATGAAACACCGGACTTCGGGTATTGTCACAGCGCTGGTGAAGGCGGCCAGAACAACGGCATCAGTTGGAGACATCACTCCTACGACATCGGTAATTGTGCTTCTGTACAAGCCACCAAAGGGAAAAAAGGCACGCCGTAGTATCTGTCCTATCAAGAGAGTCATCCCCGTAATGGCTTCCTTGCAAGAGAAAATCTACTTTAGCAAATCGTCGTCTAAAGACAATATGTGCGCCATAGATTTCTCATCCTGCACTTCCACAACAAATCATAACCACCCTAGGTTCCAAAAGTTCAACTTCCCTTTCGTCGACCTCCCCGGAGAATTGTCCTCAGGCAAAAAGTGGTTGGTTGAGTCGCAAGATCAACTCTTTGCCGTCACCATGGGCTTCACATTGCCTTTAATCCAAACAATATTGGCGCCATAGAGGTGTATAGGATGGATTCCTCCTCCTCAACACAAGACCGTTGGCGCAGGGTGCATGACATTGGAGATGTTGTGTTTCTCTTGGAGGATGCAAACACGGCGGCTTCTTGCTCGGCGAGCACTTTGGGACAGAAAGCAAACCACATATTCTTCATGAAGAATATCATCGATGATGATCCTGACTTGTGCATTTTTGACTTGGAAACAAACACTCAAGAGATTACCCAGGTCCACCATCACGACGACTTGATTCTCTGCCGCAAACCTTTTCTGGATTGTGCCACCTAGCTAGCTAGCTTTGTATTTCTATGTATACATTCCTTGAAATTTTATTAATGCAATGTAAATGCGTGACAGAAGTACTTTTTTTCCAAATCCAAAAGCTATTAAATACGTGTTGGTTTGTCTGTTAGTTTGGAAGTATGAAATGATCAGAGGGATGTATTTTATATGGTTTTAGAAGTTAAGTGAGGTAAATTGTCCGCTATTCAAGTTCGAGGGTGTTTTCTAAATCTGGCGACAAATTCAAGGGGCAAATTGGACATTACTTTCAGCTAAAAAAAATAAGAGCTGGGAGGGTTTGAGAGAAGCGGGTGTTGCCTTAACCGATGTTTTTCTTCTAACATTAAGAGATTATTTCATTTGATCTGGTTATATATTATAAATAGTCAGATGGCACGTAGCCTGGTAGCTCGACCCGAAGCCCACCTTTTTGGCCTAGCATGAGCAAGCCACGACCCGATGGCAGGCATGCCCTGCCCGCTGGTTATGCCTGGACTGCTCCTCAGCCACGCCGCACGTAGCTTGGCCTAGACTGTTAAATAGCCTTGTCCCAGTACTAGGCCAGTTAACAGGCTAACACCACCCACCCCAACAACCCAACGCCCAACCTTAGGCTTGTTCCCCTCACCGGCCCTCGGCTGCTTTCTTCCCTCCATGCATTGCACAAGCGTGCAACCACCACTCTTCTCCGCTCTTCTTCCCTCTCGTCCACGAGAGCGCCAGCCTCGAGCACGAAGCCCTCGAGCCGCCAGCCGCGAGGGCCCCGGCCTCGACCTCCTTTCCAACTAGCTCTCTTGTTGTCGCCTCTTCCCCTATCCCGCTAGCTGTCATCTTTGGCCGCAAGAGCACTAGCGACGAGACGCCGACTGCGAGGAGCCAAGCCTCGAGCGGCGGCCACGGTAGTGCAGGCCTCATCAAGCGTTCGATCGCAGGGGTCCTAGCGTCGAATGCAATAGTCGCGAGCGCACCTACCTCGATCTCCTCATCCCAGCTCGCTTGCTACTGCCACCTCTTCCCCATCCCGTCGCCCACCATCTCGTTCTCGTTCTCGGCTTGACTGCCACTGTCTCCCTTCCTTTGCTAGTAAGCGGGCCTCGAAGGGCTCGGCCTGCTTCATAGGTCGTGCTTATTGGGCTAGCTAGGCATGGAAAATGACTCTGGCGTGTCGTGCCTGGACCAAAGGCCAGGCCCGTGGTCCTAATCAGCACAAACCCGGTGGCACGGCGTGCCGTGGCTGGCTTGATATCTGATATCTATAGACCGTGCTTTCTCCGTGCCGTTCTAAATGGCTCATTTAGCCACCTATAAATCAGGTAAATAAATCTACAATTTTTAATAAAAAGAAGTGAGCCAGCCGAAGGTGGGTATGTATTACCATGGCCCAACCCAGCCCATGTCCTCCGAACGATGCTAGCGACTTGTTGGGTCTGGAAACTTTGCAAGGGGCGTACGCCGTACACTCACCAGTCACCAGTGAATCGCGGCGAACCAGGTTTTAATTTGCAAGCTTCTGTGGAGGCGCGGACACAACCAGGTTCATCGATATCAGGCTTGGCTGAATCGAGTCCGCGCGTCCCGGAATCTAGGTAAGGGGCGGAAGGAATCCCTTTGCTCGTGCTGCTGCTTTGATTCTCAGTCTGATCCTCGTTGTTATCGGAGTCGAGGGCGATGGCCGAATTTCTCTCAAATTTTGCAATAGGTTTGAAACAGCTTCTAATTTGTTCGATTTATTTATGTATATGTATATATGAGCCTATGGTAGTTTAATGGATTATGCGCGATGCTTGGGCGGGGCTGCGAGGAGCCGTCCGCATCTAATCGGACATGGAATTGACGTTCCCAGTTTATAGATTTGGATTTGGATTTTGGGAAATAGAAAAAAATAGAAATAGAGATTGGACTTTGGCATGTTGCCAATTCGAATTCGAATTCCAATTCCAGTACAATGCAACTCCGGAGTTGTGTTGCTTATATAAGCGAGCGAGAAAGCCTAGCTGCATCATCGTGTACGTGTAATACCTGCTGTACCTCAAGATTTTTTAGATTAGAAATACCTGCTCGCCGGATTGCTTATCCGATCCGGCGACCCAAACTGCGCACGGCTGATCTACCTGGTGAGAGCCATCAATCGATGTACCTATGTTTATCAGATAAGATATATATAAAATTGTATCTAAATCACGATTCAGAAAGGCAGCCGCCATCTATACATGTTCTTCTTTCTGCAGCCTAATTAACCCCGCTCTGATCCCTACAGGTGGATCCCCGTCGTCTTCATCCATAGAGAAGAAGAAGAAGAACCATGGTGGAACACGCAGACGCTAGTAAATTTGGATCGTCCATGTCGTCCTGTTTGCCCTTGCTTGTCTTCCACCATCATCCTGATGGCCAAGAGGACAATGAAGATGAGATGCTAATGTTCAGCATGTCCAAGCAAAGCCTGCACAGGAACATGGAGCGTGGCCATGTAACCGCAGGCAACAGCAGCATGTGCTGGAGCACTCCACAAGGCTGGATACTCCTCGCCCAAGGCCACGACACGGTGTCTTCGGCTTGTCTATGGAACCCGGCCTTGCACCGGCGACAAGCTTTCCTTGCCGGATATCGTAGAGGAGGAGCACCAAATCCCGTATCACTGCAAGTGTCTCCTCTCCCACAAGGACCCAACTCACCCAGGATGTGTCGTCGTGCTCTTCAGTGGTGCCGCGCCTGAGTTCTGGTACTGCCATACCACGCCTGATCTCTGGTACTGCCACACCGGCGACAATAGCAGCAGGTGGAGACATTGCACGTATGACGTCGGTAACTATCCATCTATACCAAAACCACCAATGGGAAAGAAGGCACGTCGCTGTCGCCGTCCTATCAAGAATATCATCGTCGACATGGCTTCCTTCCAAGGGAAAATCTACTTTAGCAAATCTAAAGGAGACATGTGAGCCATAGATTTCTCGTCCTGCACTACCACGGCCATAGATTTCTCATCCTGCACTTCAACGGCAAATTACAACGACCGGCCTAAGTTCCAAAAATTTAATTTCCGTTTGGTCGATCTCTCTGAAGGATTGTCCTCGGGCAGACAGTGGTTGGTTGAGTCGCAGGATCAACTCTTTGTAGTCACCATTGGCTTCATTGCTTTTAATCCAAACAACATTGGCGCCATAGATGAGGTGCATAGGATGGATTTCTCCTCCTCGTCACAAGACCGTTGGCGCAGGGTGCATGACATTGGAGACGCTGTGTTTCTCTTGGAGGATGCAAACATGGCGGTGTCTTGCTATCGGCGAGCACTCCGGGACTGAAAGCAAACCAGATATTCTTTATGAAGAATTTTATGGACGATGATGGTGACTTTGCATTTTTGACTTGGGAACAAACAGCCAAGAGATTACCCGAGTCCATAATCATATGAAGACTTGATTCTTTGCCGCAAACCTTTCTGGATTGTGCCACCAAGCTAGCTAGCTATCTACCCTTATTTATAAATTATTTCTTGCCATTTACTTCGACTTATGTGAAGAAAAATTAATCATATATACACCAACAATTATGTAAGTTAGTACTTAGTATACAATACGAAGCATATCACTGGTTTCATGTAATGGCAGGGTAACTATATCATCTTTTGATAGGATTATCTTAAAATATAAGAAAATTTTCCATGCTTTCCAATCAGCTTAAGGCTCAAGTGGTTACAACCAAGCGGGGAATAAAAAAATCAACAAAGTTTAAGCCCATCGAAGGCGAGCGAGCAAGCGACCGGAAATGAACAAGCTACACTTCGATTCGATTCTGGAAGCGTCAAACAAACTTTGCAAATACTGCCATTATTATTGTCTCCAAATCTCTGCAACCACGTTTGAACAATGGATGTTCCTTATTATGACCACTGTCGGATCTAATAAATCACCCTGAAGATTATCTCTAAATATGTATTAGACTTAACCTTGTCAATAATCAGGCTTTCCAATCAGCTAATTAGGCTTTTGAGTTCAACTGGCCATGCATTCAGCTCAATATGGTACCATGATGTAAATAGATGTAGTAGTAATACTTGCATGTGTGTTTTACATTTGCCTTGGTTTCTCTATGGCTGGGAGCAGGCCGAGCCACTGTGCCACGAGTGGCCTACGAGGCTGTGCGCTGCGCCACCGTCTCCGTGCATGGCCGCGCCGCTACGTCTGCACGTGAGAGATAGGGTGGAGGAGGCCAGGAGATGAGGAGAGTGATGAGAACCGAGGTCGTGGGTGGAGGCAACGTGGGAATAGGGGCGCGAGGAAGCCGATGCGGGAGCGGGAATAGAGCGGTGATGGAATCGGAAGGCCGAATGGCCGATGCCGCAGGGCTGTTCGGCAGCACTGAAAAAAAAAAAGGCTAAAATATTATTCTGATTGATCGTTGTGAGAAAAAAATACTATTCTATCTAAAATTACTGTACATGTAAACAGTATTTCGTATCCGCGCTGGCTAGCCGGCCGAACACTCGCGCAAATGATGGGGATTGGGGGCAGGTTAAAGCACGACAGGGCGTGCAAATCGTGAAGCGCACGACCCCAGAACCCCAACGCGCGCAACTCAATTCCGCATGTACATGTGCCGACAAGCCCAACTGCCATGACGACATTTGACGCAAACACAAAACACAACATTTTCTTTGAACGGCTATAATTTTTTGAATGTTGCGTCCATTTTCAATATCGTCTGCACCGATGTGTTCTACGTGATGAGGTGAACAAAACTAGACCCTACTTATCTATGTTTTAAAGTATTTTATTCCAGTAGCAATTTATGTGTAAAAATATACTAGGAAATTTATGAAAGGAGTTGCTACCATGTAATACTAAACTTGCTACTCCAAAAATATAATAAAGTTTTTACATGGTATGCACATCGATTGTTACCATAGGAATATAATAAATTTGTTATATAGTATTTACTTAAAGGTACTAACACCTAAAGAGAGTAGCGAACCAAAACAAGACAAGCTACGGGGCAAATTATTAAAATAAACATTGCATAAGCTGCCAATTAGGGGGCGACTTATTATACAACAAATTACAAAAAATCAGGAAACATGACTTGCTGCCACTCGGGGGCATTTATTAAAAAATAAGGGTAACGGCACAAAACAAGACAAACTGCAACTTAAGACGAATTATTAGAACAAGCATTGCATAAGCTGCCAATTAGAGGGACAAGTTATTATATAACTATAGCTGACAATTGCAGGGACATTTATTAAAAAGACAAGAGTAGCAACCCAAAAATAAGACAAGCTACACTTGAGGGGCAAATTATTAGAAGAAACGTTGTATAAGATGCCAACTTAGAGGGTAAGTTATTATACAGCTAACATGTAGGATTGAGAAATGTATTCGAACATAAAAGGTTGACTAGCTAATAATTGCATGGACATTTATTAAAAGGACAAGAGTAGTGACCCAAAAATAAGACAAGTTGCACGATAAGGGGCAAATTATTAGAAGAAGCATTACAGGGTGCCAATTTAGAGGGTAAGTTATTATACAACTAATGCGTAGGATTTAGGAATGCATTCGAATCTAAAAGGGTGACTGAAAACTAAAACTAAAAAATATTTAACAAAACTTAACTGAAAACTAAAAAAAATAACTGGAAAAAATAACATTGAAAAAAACTCATTGAACTAAAACTAAAAGAAAAAATGAAAAAAAAACTAAAATGAAACAAAAAAATGAGAATAAAAGCTACACAAAAATTGAAAAAATGAAACTCAAAGTGGGCTACATGCCCTGCCTCTCACACATGAACACAAGCAGGCTAGACCGCAAGGCTTCCACGCAAAAATAATAAAAAAAAAAAGGCTAGGCCGCCAGGCCAATAGCGCGCAGGTCGGGCCAGCGAGTCGTGCGCTGCCGCACGAGCGCGACCAGACGCGCATTAACGCTTGCGCTAGAGAAGGGGTGGCAACCGTATATGGGCCACGTTGGGCCAACCTTAAACTTGCCAGGCCTTGCCGGCAGTCGTCATGCCGTGCAAAGAGAGCGGCCTAGGCATGACGACCGTCAGGCCATGTCATGCTTGGGCCCGTCTGGGCCGTGGGCCTCGTGTCTTATGGCCTTCTATACGTGTAGCAAGAATCTCGTTGCCCAAGACCAGAAGGTAAAAAGAGTTTATCGGTTGTCGTTAGCTTAACAAAAAATACTAGTACAAAGAGATTATTGTTAATAATAATTATAATACAAAGAGATGTAGCCGCCAGTAGAAACTATTTTTTAATATATAGCACACCACACAAGCAAAACGCAAATCATATATAGTATAGAAAAGAGCAAAATTCACCGTCGGTCCCAGAACTTGAACGGCGGTGTCATATAGGTACCTGAACTTCTAAAGTGATATATGTGGATCCGTAAACTTGGCAGACGGTGTCATTCAGGTCCCTAAACTTTCAAGGTGATCACCGTAGGTCCCTAAACTTAGCTGAAGGTGTCATCCAGGTCCCTGAACTTTCAAAATGATCACCATAGGTCCCTAAACTTGACAAGCGATGACATCCCTGTCCAAATGTAATAATATTAAAAGTTACTTATACTATTAAAAGTTTTCTCTATTAAAAGTTACTTTTAATTTTAGTATTATTTTAAAAATTTTAATAGTAGTATTATAGAAGTAATTTTTCTCTGTTATTAATACTATAACATTATTATTAAAACTTTGAGTGAAATACACTGGCGGTCCTTTAATTTGTCGGTCTGTGCTAGTCCGGTCCACGAACTTGCAAACACGGAAAATGGGTCCATGAACTTGTCAAGTTGTTCACCGCAGCTCCATTTCCCATCCGCGTGCGGCCTCCATGCGACGTGGCAGCGCCAGCGCGTTTCAATGTAGGCCCCTCACGTCAGGGTCGCCCCTTACCTCCCGCTCCGCACGGGACGAACGTCGTCGCCAGCAGCGCTTGGACCATGCCTGGCCGCGCCCTTCTCCCATGTCCCCTGCACGACCGAGCACCCCGCGCAGACCCTTTCTACGCGCCGCAGCCCCTCGCCCTGAGCCGCTCGTCCCGCAGCGCCGAGTCAGAGATCCGCCATTGTTGGCATGGAGCCGAGCTCCTTGACCGGCCTTTCCTCCCCTCCCGTGGTCTCTCTCTCCCTCTAAAATGGTGCCCAGAGTGTCGCGTGAGCACTCCGCACTAACTCCGCTTCTCCTCGGGCTCCCTTTCTCGCTCTACAGGCGTCGCCGCCTCATCCCGAGCTAGCAGCGCCGCCGCCACCGTCGATCTCCTCCTCTGCCGCTTTCTAGCAGACGCGAGCTTGTCGACGAGCCTCGGGGCGTGCTATGGCACCCTCCAGTGCTCCCGCGCTCTTCCTCTCCCTCTCTGTGCGTCACTCTGGCTCGCCGGAGCTGCGCTGCTGTGGCCGAGCCACCTCACCGCACGTACCGCCGCCTCCGGACGTCCTCCGCCGCGAGGAATGTCCTAGGCGAGTTCGCCTCGTCGCACTCTCCACCCCCATGTAACCCGTACAGGCGCTAGCGCTCCACAGCGCCACCCCGTCGAGCTCGTCGTTGCCGCCATGGGCGCCGCCGCGTCTCGCGCCTCCCGGTCCACCAAATAGTGTGGACGCAGCGCCACCCCGCCGTGTTCGGTATTTTGAACGTGCGGCCCACGTGCTTCGTCTGCCACACTGGCGCTGCCACGTCGTCTGGAGGCCGCGCCGGATGGGAAATGGACCTGCGGTGAACAACTTGACAAGTTCAGGGGTCAATTTTCTACGTTTGCAAGTTCGTGGACCGGACTGGCACAGGCCGACAAGTTAAAGAGCCGCCAGTGTATTTCACTCTAAAACTTTAAATGCTATAATATTATTATTAGAAGTTCTAATACTATAATACTACTATTAAAAGTAACAGTATTATAGAATTAATAATAGAGAAAAGTTACTTCTATAATACTACTATTAAAACTTTTAAAATTTTAATAGAGAAAACTTTTAATACTATAGGAATTTTAATATTATTTTAATACTATTAATGATAAATAAATACTAAATTAATTTTAGTATTTTTTATTTTAGTTTAAATCTAATATATTTTATGTTGAAAATTATTTTAATACTTTAATTTATTTTTGCTGATGTAAATTATTTTATATAATTTGTATTTTCATGATAAATATTATAAATAATGATTGATTAATTGACACACGTTGGATCTATGTCTAACGTATAGTCAGCGTGCCATACCAGCTTATAGAGTAGTTTAGACAACATTTGGACAGGGATGATACCGCTTGCCAAATTTAGAGATCTGCGGTGATCACTTTGAAAGTTCAGGGGCCAGAATAACACCGTCAACCAAGTTTAGGGACATGTGGTGATCACCTTGAAAGTTTAGTGACCTAGATGACACCATCTGTTAAGTTCAGAGACCCACATATATCACTTTAAAATTTCAGAGACCTAGATAACATCATCGGCCAAGTTCAGGGACCGATGGTGAATTTTTCTCAATAGAAAACATCGTCAAAGGGTACAAAGGGTGGACAGAGGAAGACCAGACGAGACAAATTTTATATAAACTAGATAGATAGATATAAGATGCAACTTGCTTGCTTCGAACACGCACGATGTTTGCGTCGGAGAAGCAAGCCGTCATGATTCTGAACACGGGTAATCTCTTGGCACTCCGACTCCAAGTCAAAAACGCACAGATCAGCATCATCTTCCACGAAATTCTTCATGAAGTACACCTGGTTTCCTTTCAGTCCGTGAAGGCTCGCCGAGCGGCAAGACGTTGCCAAGCCTGTGTCGTCCAGGAGAAACACGTACGGTATCTCCAATGTGACGGACCCTGCGCCAACGAGGAGGCTTGCTGGTGTCGACGACGACGGGAAGTCCATCTTGTACACGCGGATGGCGCCAATGTTGTGAGGATCGACGCCGACGCAGGAGACGTCGACAAGGAAGAGCTGGTCGTCGCAGTCGAGCAGCCAGGTCGCCCCGAAGCACATCCCTTTGGGGAAATCAACCTTGCGTGCGTCGAAATAGTGGAACGCAGGGTGGTCTTTGCTGCTTGTGAAATCGATGGCGCACATTTCTGTAAGTGAGTTGATGAAATAGAGCCTCCTTGGAACGCAGCAACCTTGGAAATCACCATCTTCGTTGGAGGGCGATATGCCTCTGGTAACTTGTAGTTACCGATGTCAAGTAATGCCTCCATCTCCAACGAGTACTGGTCTTGTCGTCATCGTCGTTGTCGTTGTCGATGATGACCTGGCAGTACCACAAGTCAGGCGTGGAAGGATGGAAGAGCACGACGACGCAGCCAGGACGTGTTGGGTCCTTGTGGGAGAGCAGGCACCTGCAGGTCTGTGGGAACCTGTGCTCCTCCTCTGTGATATCTGCTAAGGGAAGCTTGTCGCCAGTGAGAGGGTTCCATAGACAAGCCGAAGACACCGCCGCGTCGTCGTCGGTGTCATCATGGCCATAGGTGACGAGGAGCATCCATCCTTGTGGCGTGGCCCAGCACATGCGGCTGCTGCTGCCGCCGCCGCCGCCCGTCGAAACGTGATCGGTTCGGCTAATTCCAAACTTAATTACGAGATTAATTAAGCGTTAAGCTTTTGGTCCACCCACTTGTCATTAATATCCAACTAAATAAGAACTGCCGTGATCGGCGGCAATCCTAAAAATTATAAGGGTTCGGCCCCTGGCCCACAGCGTGATTATAAATAAGGGGAGGCGCCCCTGGCGTCTACATCACATCCATCCACGTGACTATTCACATAATCGGTCAATTAGGCGCTGGAGGGTTTAGGAAGGCCGTCTACCCACATCCGTCCAGGTATTGCAATATACATCGCATTCTTCACCAATTAGGAGCATCAAGCCCCAATCTGGTGAAGACTAAGATCTACTTCATCTACATCAACCACATCAAGTCCAGCGACACATATAGCGTCCACTAGCTCTGGTTAGTATCTAAGATTAGTTTCCACATTAGAATGAGTCAGTGATTGTGTTTAGGCTAAGTTAAGATCTTGTTAGTCTAAATTCTAATTCAATATTTGGTATCGAAGCCGGCTTAGATCTAACATGATCCTAAGCCAGAGTTCAATCTGTTTCATGCCTCTGTTATGTTAGATTTTTTTTTCGGCTAAGTCAGATTAGATGCAACTAAATTTTAATTAAGACCAATCTTATCTGTCACATGCATGATTAGCCTCTGTGATGTTTGTTTAGTAATCTTAGCACTCAAATTAGATCCGTTTTTATGCTATCAGTAAGTAATTAGATCTTAATTAGAGGCGGTCTAAGGATAAGTTTATGATTAGCTAAGTTATTACAGCGTTAGGGTTCACTGTTTATCATGTTCAGTCTCAGATTAAGAATCAATCTAAGCAATTAGTCTCGGATTAGTTTAATTTTCTGCGATTAAGGGTGTTTTCCACCAAATTAATCTGAATTAACCATTTAGGAGGGGATTCAATCAAATAAACAGCCACAAACAAAATCCCCAAATCAAGAACACTAACTCTAAGTTCAGACATGGAGCGTGCACCCGCGTGGCTCGTACCCAGCGTTGTAGGTCGGGTCGCCGCTGTTGCCTGTGCCGCCCCCAGCCGTGCGCGCGCGTGGGTCATACCCGTGCTGTTGGCCAGGTCACCGTCGCCGCCATGGAGGCACCGCCGCATGGATCCGCAGGGCCTCCGCCCTGCGCTGCGTGCGTGAGGATCTTGTGTAGCAGCCTCCGCCACGTTGGTCTCAGGGCGCTGCTGCGTTGGCTTCCCGGGCATCAGGAGCGCCGCCATCGCTACGGCCGTGAGGGGCACTGGCGCTTGCGCCTGCCCGCACAGGTGCCGCGCCCTGTTCGCATCTCACCGCCGTTCGGCCGGTTTCGGGTCGCCGTTGCCGCGCCACATTAGGGCACCCGGTTGCAGAGCTCGACGGAGCCGCGTGCGGCCCTACCGTACGCTCGCGCTGGTGAGCCGAGCGCCGTGGTGCTGGTCGTTTCGGGCGGGAGCGGCGCTGTGTTGCATGAGCAGCAGGCTGAGCAAAGAAGAAGAAGAGTGAGGAATGCGGCTAGGGTTTTTTTCAGAGTGGCTTAAGTATGTGGTCGTCGTTTGCCTTTGGCATCTCACAACCGCTGATCTTTCTATCCTACGGATCACACCACTCGCGCATCAGCTGTCATGCCAGGAAGTAGAATGGGCCATTCGCCGGCCTGCTGATGTATAGGCGCACGTGAAACGGGCCGACAGCTGAGCACGTGACGGCTGGCTGTCACTCCGTCAGTCCGGCTAATTTAATATATTAGCCGAATTGAGTTTCGTTATAAGCAATAGGCCTACACCGTTAAGTTTATTTCCCAAATAATTATCCCACTACTAATAAGTTCAGTTTTTTTAGTTTTATTTAACTTTTTTTGGTAAATTTAAGTATGCAAGCAATACTTTTCCTAAAAATTAAGTTTTTTCGCATCAACTTAATTATTGCTTTAAGTATATAAGTTTAATGCCCTCATAATGATATATATATTCCCACTTCATATAAAAATTTCTTTAGTAATCTTTAAGTTAATTTTAAGTATGTTTTGGGAATATGTTGCAGAGAATATTTAAGTTTAAGAAATTCCTTTTTGTTAGTGCAATTTTACTTAGTTAACTTTTATGCACTTTTTAAATAAGTTCTAAGTCTGATTTTTAATTTCAATTCCAGCATTAAATTTTATGCTTTCATGAGCATTTTATGCTTTATTGGTGCCCTAAGATTAAGTTTTGCATGAATTTGCATTCAATTATAAGTTTTCATATATACATATATATCCATCACTGTATAATAAGATGGTCTCTGATTAAATGGAACTAACGAGAAGTTTAATTGAAGATTACTCATAATTAATTTCTGATGTTGACTTTAATTATGAGTTATTACGATGGATTTTATTTTGTTTCTGTCCGACGGTGATGCAAATTAAAGTCCTTAAGCATGTTGTTAATTCTGACCAACGTTGATTTAATTGTATGCTTTAAGTACATCTTATATACAGCTTACTAATTAAGATATTATTTTGCTTCAAATTTTTTCAGTAAATTATGCAGACTATATAAGTACCATAGAACCCCTAAGTTACACTAATTTTCCTTCTTAGAATAATCAGGTGCTTGCCATTCTCAAGGGGCTGGACCTTGATTATGTGCTTAAGGAGGAAAAACCACACGCTCATTCTCCTATTTATGAGTACTATGCTGAGAGGATGAAGGAGTACATCTCAAAATTAGAAAAATAGGAGAAATCCGACAGGTTGCTAAAATGATAATAAGATGCTCACTCTCAGTTAACATGATGAGGAGATTTCTTTCTAATGAAAACAACATCGAGGATTAAGTCCTAAGGAGCTTCACAACTCCATCAAAGCACACTTTAGAAAGGTTTTCCTCTTTGATAACTTAATTAATTCCCGTTATGATGGGATAAGTGGTCTGTGTAACCACGTTAAAAGCTTGTTTGATATGGCTTATGAGTTGAAGGCTGAAAGTGCATCTAGCCCTTTAGTGGGTTTTAGATGATTGAATGACAACGTGATTAAAGGTCTAACCCGCTTGCTAAGTGTAGACAGGTAATAGGTTATCTCATAGGTACTTAATGAAAGCCAAAATGATGTGTTGTTGTATAAACAATATAGTTCAAGCACAAGACAACAATGCAAATAGAATTCATGCAAAGGGCTTATTTATTGTGGGATTTCCATGTACTATATAAAAGCAAGCTTGTAAGAATTAATTAATGAGACATAAGGGATTGCATATGGAATGGTCTCATATTTGAAGCTTGCTAAATTGAAATGAAAAAGATAACAACACATGAATGGATGATTCAACACAAGATGTGACTTGATGGCTTGAGATGGTGAAGATAGTAAGGAAAGGCTTCAAGGTACTAAGCAAGGGTGAAGGGCAAGCAATGGCTTGGCGGCCGAAGAACCTAGCTAAGGTGAAGAAGGAAGTACTTGCATTTAGTTGAGGTACTAATCAAGCTATGATGGCCATATTTATGTGGAGGATCAAATCACTATTGGAGTGTTTGATGGAAGTGACTTGATACATTTGGGATTATTCAAATTTGATGAATGAAATCAAGTCATGTGGTCAAGATGGCTATGCTCAAGTGAAAAAGATTAAAGTTGACATGTTAGCACCCTCACTTTATGAAGATTGGAATACACGGCTTCGGTTGAAAGAGAACAACTCAAAAGGTTTAAATTCGTTATACATTTGAATTTGAGTTAATAGGAATGCCGTACTATAAAGAGGGATGCATCATGTTGATAGATAATGTTTCATAAGTGCTCAAGCCAACCCATGTGAGTTTTGAGTATTTGAGCGACAAAAGAGCTAACTTTATTTTTGCTGGTCTGGCATATTGATACCAGATGTGTCCGGTATTTACCCAGCAGTTGTAAAATTGTTGTTCTCCGGTTGGTTCGTCGGGAGTTCCGACGTAAGTCGGGAGTTCCGACGGTCGGGAGTTCCGGCAAGGGTCAGGAGTTCCGACGTCTCGCACTTTAACTGACTTGGAGGGCTCACTGTCCTGGTCATACCGGACGTGTCCGGTATTCATACCGGACGTGTTCGGTATGCACGACCAGAGGCCAACGGCTAGTTTTCAAAAGCCTTTAGGGTCGGGAGTTCCGACGTGAGTCGAGAGTTCCGACACCTCACATACTTTAACTCAGTTACATGGTTTTCAAATTTGCTGAGGGTCGAGAGTTCTGACGCGTGTCGGGAGTTCCGATGGTCGGGAGTTTCGGCATTCATCGGGAGTTCCGACGCCTCACGTTGTCATTGTAACTTAGTTACCGTTGGGGCAGTGTAAGTCATACCGGACGCGTTCGGTATTGCAATGGCTAGTTTTTCAAGGGGAGTTATAAATACCCCCAAGCCTCCACCTTTGGATGCTGCTGATTCTGCTGGTTGCTACACACGTTTTTGAGCCTTGCCAACTCTCCCAACCCTCTCTTAGTGAGTGATTGATCAAATTTGCCAAATCAAATTGTGGGTTGAGTGAAATTCAAAAAGAGAGCAATCCAACCACT